TTGGCAACATCAGAAAAGGCAAGATGTAGGAACTGATAATGCAGTTATTGGACAGTATATGGAAATGGGGATTGATTTCACTTAAAAAGCAAGCATTTTCCATACCAGCAGGAGGCTTCTGTTCTAGAAATATGATATTGTAATATAAGTGGTCCACAAAGCTCATACTGTTATAATGAGTTTACACAGGACTCACTAGAGTTATAAAAATAAAAATATTAGCTTTGTACTGTCAATGCCAAATGTAAATACAGTAATCCCATGTATCCCTCCGATAGTTGACCTTGAACAAGTTTTTCAGCCCACTTTTGCCTCTGTCTTCTTGTCATAAAAGACAAAATGATCTCTCAAAGCTACTTCAACTCCCCAAATCTTAGATTTTGCTTTTCTTTCTCTGCCAAGAAGTCAGAGAAAACTATACATATTTTACAAACAGAAAACCTTAGAGAGAAGGAGACTTCCATTTGAACGGAACTAAATAAGAGCCTATCTCCCATCCAGATGCCTGCTCCCATGAGATACCCATCATCTATCTTTTGAAACACCGAAAACAATTGTTTTTAAAACCAGAAGAATAATTTGATTTTAATGAATATGTCATTTGCTGACAAACAAACGGCATAATTTTTCTTCTATTCTTTTGCAACTAAAATAAATTTAAGTCAAGGTTTATCCTGGAGGGTTGTTGTTGTTGCTAGCTATTGCAAAATAGCTAAAAGTTGTTTTGTAATAGAAATGCTGACTCAAACTCAATTACTGTGAGAGTTTGAACAGACTGTCCTTTTTTGAAGAAATAAGAAAGCAATTAGGTGTTGATGTAGATATTTATATGTAAGGGATCATTTAAAAGACTGCAAAAGAATGCTAAATATGAAAAGAGGTTACAGAGGATTATAGGGTGAGAAAGTGCCAGAGTTATTTTTAAAATATATAAGTTGTATATGTTATATTTTTAAAGTTAAATCTGATAAAACATTTTATAATAAAAAGAAATATAACGATAGAAACCAAACCATAGATCCAGGAAGATCAGAGAAAACTATGCAGGCAAATACCAAAAAAAACTATACCTGGCCATATCATATTCAAACTGCAGACAAAGACAAAGAGAAAATCTTGAGAGAGGCCAGAGGGGCAAAAGCACCTTATCTGGAGAGAAACAAACTTCCTTTCAGAAACGATGCAAGTAAGCAAGAAAAACAAAACCCAACCTAGAATTTTACATCCAGTAAAATTATCCTTCAAAAGTAAAGGAGAAATAAAAATTTCCACAGACAAACAAAAATTAAGAGAATTTGTTACCAGTAGATCTGCTTGGCAAAAAAAAAAATATTAAAAGAAATCCTTTAGAGAGAAGGAAATTATATAGATCAGAAATATAGACCTACGTTTACAAAGGCAGAGTGTTGAAGAAAGAATAAATGAAAGGCATTCTCAGTTCCCTCCTCTGGGTGCTGGTGCGATGCCCAGCTCTCAGAACCCCACCCAAAGTGAATAATACAGACTCTCAACATGATAGATTGTTGGCTTAAAAAGGAGTAGAAGACTTGCTTTCCCCATCCACAGCCACAACCTCTACATTTAAAGATACCAAAAAGGACATAGCAAATTATCTGGCCTGTGGAAGGGAGAAATATTCCAAAGAAATTTGACAAAACTGTAAATAAGAAAAATGATGAAAACGTCTTTCTCTCAGCTTTTATAGATGTTAATAATAATCCATACTGTGTTATATGATGGAAAATTTTCATATAGTATCATGATATCAGTTAAGTTGTGGCATCATTTTGAGACCAATCATTGAGAATTTTTTAAAAAGGGAATTAAATATTGCAAGTGTAAACATTATGAGCCTGTTAAAAGTCAAAAGTTATTATAGCTTCTCAAACTAGAAATAAAAAGGCTACTGAAGCACCTACAGGTTACAATTTATTTTTATTTTTCTATATTTTTATTTTTTTGAGACAGAGTCTGCTGCTGTCACCCAGGCTGAAGTGTAGTGGCATGATCTCAGCTCAATGAGGCCTGCCTCCTCAGTTCAAGAGATTTCTTATGCCTCAGCCTCCTGGATCGCTGGGATTACAGGTGTGCACCACCACGCCTGGCTAATTTTTGTATTTTTAGTAGAGACAGGTTTCATCACATTGGCCAGGCTGGTCTTGAACTCCTGGTCTCAAGTGATCTACCTGCCTTGGCCTCCCAAAGTGCTGGGATTGCAGGCATGAGCCATCTGTGCCTGGCCTTAATTTTTAATATGGTAAATATCAATTGCTATAACTCATATAAACAAAAAGCTATTTGAGATCCCTCCTCACCTTTTTTTTTTCTAAGACTATAGTGTTCTTGAAGCCAAAAATGAGATTTTTGAGACAGAATCTCACTCTGTCTCCTAGGCTAGAGTGCCATGGCCTAGTCTTGGCTCATTGCAACCTCCACCTCCCAGGTTCAAGTGATTTTCCTGCCTCAGCCTCCTGAGTAGCTGGATTAAAGGTGCCCACCACCATGCCTGGCTAATTTTTGTATATTTAGTCAAGATGAGGTTTTGCCATGTTGGCCGGGCTGGTCTTGAACTCCTGACCTTGTGATCCGCCTGCCTCTGCCTCCCAAAGTGCTGGGATTATAGGTGTGAGCCACTGCGGCTGGCCTGTGGCTACTTCTTTAAATAAAATGTTACATCATTCCTTCTTGAATTATCAATTTTAGGCATCGGCTATTGGAGTTCTGTCACAATTGATGAGAATTTAGGTCTTTCACAATTTTGGAAGGTAGCACTATTCTCATTCCTCCTTTGGTTGCCTCCACAATGACAATCTCCCATGACATACCTACTTCTCCATTTCTGTACTACCACCTTGACTCCCACTCTGTAAAGCTGGTGTTAGAACTCTCATCCTTCCCCCATCCTCCCCACTCCTGTAAGTTCTCTCAATGATACTTTTATATTAGTCTTTTGTAAACCTTTACATTCTGGTTTGTGATTTGTATAATGTTTAATTCTAAAAGGAAAAAAAAAACTGTAAGGGGAGCTTAATTATACCTATATAAATACAGTTCACTACAGGGCTAGTAAAATAAGATCAAGATACCTTTCTACAAGTTCCAGTGTCATGACTGCTGTGCTCCTAGAATCCACTGGGATGGATTTCCCGTTTTTGTGATCTTGCAATTGCCTTTACTACATTCTGAAGGTCTCTATCATGATTTCTGTTCTATTAATTCTCACTGCCTGGAGATCCTTTTCCCAGAGCCATTAATCCTCATATTCCAAAGTGGACCAGTCACTTTTAGGTCTACTGCACAGCTATCATTCTGGAACAAGATATCACTGCTCTTGTAGATTGTACCGATTGTTCCTGAAAACTTCTTGGTTACTTATTGCTACAAAAATGCTGTGTAACCATAATGCTATATAACAAGCAACCTGAAATCTCAGTGGCAACAACAAACATTTTCTCTTTACCCTGCTTCAGACTATGGGTTGAGTTCAAGCCTACTTCATGTATCTTTTATTTAGTGCCAGCAGCTGTCTGGAGTATGCTTCTACTGTGGAAAATGAGAGAAGACAGAGAGAGACCAAGACAAGCCAAATAAGCATATGTGAATTCTCTATTCATGTTGCATCCATTATAGTCCACTAGCTGAAGCAATCATGTGAAGCAAATCACATGTCCAACCCAACACCAAATGAGTAGGAGAAAATATTTCACCTACTCTAGGGGGACGCAGGACTAAGTCATTTGACAAAGGCATGGATGTGTATGTTGACAGCAGGGGAGAGGAGAACAATAAGGAACAATCATCTAATCCACCACAGGAACTTATATTTTACTCACTTCTACCTTGTTTTGTTGGAGAGCATCCTCTAATAACTTCCTAAGGAGGGGATATGGTAGGTAAACTTTCTGAATTGTATGTGTCTATAAATGTCTTTATCCTGCCCTCATACCTGACAAACATCATTGAGACCCTTGCTCCATGCTCTTCTATAATAGCATCCCACGTTGCTGATGAGAAGTTTCTTGTCAGGCTGCTTCTTGCCCTTTTTCTAGGTGACCCTTTCTCTCTCAATATGCTCTTTACCCTGATGTTCTAAAATGTCTCAATGACATAGAGATAGGTAACTTTTTTTTTTTACTGTGCCAAGTATGCAGTGGGCCCTCTCAAACTGAGAATTTTATATAGAAATTTTTAATAAAACCCTATGTTTTGCTGCACAGGTTACTCCTGACCTTCTTTGTATCTGTTGTTTATAAGTATAAAGACTGAAGCCTTCTACCTCTCCAGGCACAATATACAGGATCGTGTGTGTGTATTTGTGTGTGTGTGTGTGTGTTTATACAGGATCATATATATAATATATAATATGTATGTTATATATATAATATAAATATACACACATATATAGGCTGCTGCTTTCTCCAATTCATTTAATCACTTTTTTTGTATCCCAGAATTTTTTAGATTTCTGCCTGTCTATGGATGGGCTTTGTTCATTCTCTTTATTTTGTGGAGTTCTAGCACTTAAAACATTTTGTTTACTATGATTTTATTGATGCCCCAGGAGAGAGAGGTAATAAAATGGTATGCCTAAGATAGCGTGTTGATTTATTAGTCTCAATATTTCATTCTAAGTATATTTTACATTTTAATATATTAAAATTATATTTCAATATATTTAAAATATTTGTGAAGTGGCAGGCTGTACCAGATAGCATAACATTTAAATAACGTGGCTATGTTAGTATCCATATTTTCAAAGGTAATTAGTTTGAATGTGATTATTTAATTTGCAAAAGAATTTGAAATGTTACCAAAGGTAGCTAGTTTCTCTAAGACAGTTCTGTCCAACAGAACTTTTTGCAATGATAGAAATGTTCTCTGAGGTCTGTGCCAACCAAGACAGTAGCCACCAACCTCATGTGGCTATTAAACGCTTAAAATGTGGCTAGTGCTACTAGAAAACTGAATTTTTAATTTTATTTCATTTTTATTGCTTTAAGTTTAAATAGCCACAGGTGGCTAATGGCTGTCATATTGGACAATGTGCCAGGGATCAATGTGCCACCTTCATCATGTGAGGATACATGCAGCAAGAAGACACCATCCATGAGGCACAGGCCCTGACAGATACCAAATCTGCTGGCACCTTCATCTTAGACTTCCCAGCCTCCAGAACTGTGAGTAATAAATTCTGTTGTTGATAAATTATCCAGTCTGTAGTGTTGTGTTTTAGCAGTTCAAATGGACTAAGATACCAGCATCAACTGAAATGAGGACGAATCCCTAATTAGAGGACTCTCTCACACAATAAAAATATTTAAAACAATGATGAATATCATACTACAGAATTTTTTTACTCCAGAGAACACAAAATTTAACTCCAATGTAGAACTGATGGATAACAAAATTTGGTCCAATTGATCTTGCACTTTCTAATAAATCTTAAATGTACTTTTGTTAATTACTTATGGGCAGATACATCATCTTACCTATTTTTTTAAGTTTGCAATTTTGATTTATTTACATCAAAATTGGTTGAGGCTGGGGAAATTTGGGCACTTGGAAAATTAGTTCCTCTAAATAGTTATTTCTCCCTGGGAGTTTGAGACCATACAGCCATAGACTAATCCCACTAAGAAATGGTAATTTTTGAAATACATGCTCTAGGGAAGGGCAGGGAATACAGATAATAACTGACCTAAGATTTCTATATGCTTTAAATTTCTCAGAACCAAGACATAATAAATACAAAGTATCACTTCCCATCCTTAAAAATACATATGTATATATACGGGGAAAAAAATCGCTAAAATACTATCAATTAGAGTCATTGGAAATAAAGTTTTGAGTTAACACAGTCAAAAATAATAATAAAAATATACTTGCCAAGGTGTCATGACCAAATCTTATTGTTGAGTTCAATGTTTCCATTTTAAATCCCTATTTTCTGGTCTATAACTTACTTCAAAATGTTCCTTTTGACCTTAGAGTCTGATATTTCTCTTCCCTTCATCTCAATCCAAAGGCGAATTTATTTGCAATTTGTACTAAATCTCTTCAATTATTTCAGTTACTTGAGTTTGAAGAAAATACCTGCTTTTGCTTTCAGAAATTGTTCATATTTTTTCCATGTTCAAATTGCTTTAAAAAAAGATTTTGTTTTAAAGCTATAGTATTTACATAAATGTACTAAAGATCCAATTCAAAAATAGTTGGTTAAGAAATTTGGATTGAAGAACCAGAAATGATGAGACTCCATAGCATGTAATTACGTGAGGCAGATGCACACCTCTCTCCCACAGCCATCGTGCATGTGCATGTGACAATAATCACAAGGTGAGTGTGAGGAAAGAAAGGTCAAAACCTTAAAGAAAGATAAAAAGCTACCCCCTAAAATAATTTTAAAGTGTACACTGACTTTTAAAGGCGTGAAATAGTAAACAGCCCCAACTCCCAAGCCCACAAAGGGGACATGTAAATGGTACATATTAATTCACGAAGCACATATGAAACATTAAAAGGTACATAATAACATCCACGTGACTTTTGCCAGAATTTGAAGGAGAAGATGCAAAGGCAGTACTGGGAGTGGGATCCTCTGGATTCTACCTCAGGTTTTCTTCTGACTTTGACTTATGACTCCAGGTTGAGCCTCTAATCTTGCTTTAATATCCTCTCCACAAAATGGAGGCTGTCCTGATATGCTAGTGTGCTGAAAAGAATTATCCCTCCCACCTGCACCTTTTGAGGACATTCATTTCAATAAGTAACTTTCACATCTACTGAAACTTAGGCTCTATCTGATGCTGTGGCTATGGATATGGATAAGACAAAAATGCTTCCTTGGAAAATTTCTTGAATATGAGAAAAACTAATGAAATAAAATAACATAGGATAGGTATAAACAAAAGGGTTATTTTCAATAAGAACAGACAGCAATTAGAGACTACTGCTTTCAAGAAAAGAAAGAGAGATAGGTAAGCAAACATAGTATACAGATAAATATATCTAGACATAAATTCCTATATACCCCAAATGGGAAATTTTTAAATTCTTCATAATTGCCATCAATCTTTCCCCACCCTCAGCCTAGACCAAGCCTTTCCAAGTAAATATATGATCTAAATAAAATCAGTATTCTGGCTAAACAAATGCATTTGCAAGGCAGGCCCCTTAGTAACTAATCCAACTTCTTTCCAACCAGATTGTTACCTCCAAGCCCCTCTTACACAAAAATTCTATGGCTCTCAAAGAACAGTCCCTCCAGATAAAATTATCTGCCTGAAAATAACTATTTTCTCCTACAAACTTCCAGAGCACTTTATATCTGCTTCTCCAAGAACAATTGCTGATTTTCTTAGATTCTAACGTACAGTCTTTTCACATTTCAAATATAAACATGCGTCTTGCAATCAACTTAAAGTAAGTTTACTTTAAGGTTTCTTTTTGCCCAAGAATATGTCATTAAATTGATGATGGATCTTGCTCTGATTCATTAATTCAACAAATTATTTTTATTGTCATCTTTATTTCAATTTATAAATACATTTGTTTAATATGCTAATCTAGGTGGATTTCAGTTTGTTTTCAGAAAAACTAAAGACTTCAAAGAGTTTTATGTGAATTATCAGTATTTGCATTAAAAATTAAAACTGACACAGAAGTCTTTAATAAATGGCATCTAGATTCTGATGCATTCTATATTCTATTCATTCTGTTGTGTACCAGTCACATAGTTACTTGGAAACTCCGCTGTTTATTTGAAAATGGTGAAAAAGGCTAAGTAATATCTAATGTCATTATGACAAGTTTTGACCTCATAGGCACCCGGAAGAGCCTCTGGGCCTCCTGGGTGAAAGGACCACACTGTCTTAATAGACCTGCCCATATGGCATGCCTTCTAGAATTCCTTATAAATTTCAGTGGGCAGCTGGCCAACTGAGCAATCTATTACTCTAATGGTACTTAAGATGTGACTCTGGGGTGATGCACGAGAATTTGCATGTCTAAACAATTCACAAATCATTCAAAACTTTTTAATGCTGGAAAGCAGACTTTTCTGTTCCCCTTGATTTACTTTAAGGAGCAATTTTTTTTAAGGATTCAAAAGTGCCCAAACGTAAGATTTTAAAACTCTCCGTGCTTTTCTTCCAAAAATAGTATATCATCCACTTTACTAACCCTCCTTGCTAAATAAGGGACCCCAAATTAAATATTAGATGCCAATTGCCCCAAAATCAACCGGGGTACCTCTTCACTTCCCAAATCAGAGTTATTTGGAATCCTGAGCGAATTCTAACAAAGTGGATGCTGAAAGCTAGTCATTTATCAAAAGAGCAACATGTATTTTCTGAGTACCTGCTATGTACCAGGCTCTGTGCTGGGTTCTTGGGTCATGTCTCACAGTGCTTGAAGATATGTATCTCAGGACAATTTCAGAATTTATTAAATGCTAGACAAATTAAAACAGCTAGAGAATATTGCTGCTAAAATTTAGATTTAAAATTATTTGACTTCTTGACCTAGATTGTATATGTGTGTATATGTATATATATATTGTGTGTGTGTGTGTGTGTGTGTGTGTATTTTTTTAAGTGACTTTTAAGAAATTTACAATAATGTCATTCTAATGGAGTGAGGTTTTGGAGCTGATGAACACATTACAGTGTGTGCTATGGTGATGTGGAGTGATTATGCACACAGATGGTATTGATTTTCGTTTCCTGTGAAGCTGAATCAACATGTTGTGGCTAATGTCTGTGTAATTTAATGTATTGAATGAAATGTACCACTGCTCTGTACATGGGGATAAAAGATCCTACGTGGCTATTGTGTTCCTGTGCTCTCAAACCACAACAGACATATTTAACAATCCTTTGTTATTAAAAATCAACCTGACAAATTATTTCCTGTTTCTTATAAAAGATAGATAGTTTTTCTGTGATTAACTAATTTGTATTTTTTATGTCATAGTAGAAGGAAGGCAACATCAACAGAATTTTCTTAGACTAATGAGTTTTGCAGAATATACTTCTTTATGGTTGTCAGCCACATCATAGCATAAAGTGACTGAAAGGATTTATGGAGAGAGTCAACAAGCTAAGTCATCAGGACCAAGAGATGATGTCCTCCCCGGGGTCAATGGCAAGGGAAGCTGAGAGGGCCCTTCACTTTCTGTGCCCCTCTGACACCTCTAGTTGGTCTGTCTCCCTGCAAGTGACTAGGGCTCTCACAGCACTCTGGGTGTCTGAAATCCCAGCCCCGACAGCACCTGACGAGGTACCAGTCTTTGTAGCTCCCGTTTCCTCATCTTTTAAACAGGAGATAATACTGTTCATCTCACCAACCTCACAGGACTCTTGTACTTTTGTGGGGAATTAGATAGATAACATGTGAGAATGCTCATAAAGTTATCAAGTGCAGTGCAAATATAGATCATGATTTAAATGGTATTGTTCTTATCATTGTTACTCGGTGTTTGAGGCATCTTAATCCAAAATGATCTGCCCTCAGAACCATCCAAACTGCCATCCCTTTGAATTTGATTTGTCAGTCATTCAGTTATCCAGCTACAGAACCTTACAATGTGAATGAATGATAATATTTAAAAGGGCACCAGAATGGAGAAAATTAGGTAACACTGTGAGAGAAAGTGCTTTTAGCGTATTAGTGTGCTGACTACTTTCCCACCATCAAACAGTGCGTAGTAACACAGTAAGAGAGTTTTTACTCTGCCCACTCAGTTTCTGCCCTGGATTTCTTCAAGTAAGTGTCCTCCCGTGGGATTTTGTGATTTGAAATTGGGAGAAGGGGGAAGACTGAAGGGAAGAGAGGCTGTTTGTCTATGGCTACAGAAGTTGTTTCAGTATAGATTTTGAAGGAGGAGTCAAGTAACTGACTGAGTGGGTGTGAGAGTAAAGAGGGTTTAAGAAGTGTTGCTGAAGGCTGTGATTCCTCTTCAAGGGGTTTGTTAAATGTATGTAAGTAAAGAACCTGAGCAAATTGGATTTTTAAAAAAATTTCCAGGGCATGTTTTTTTTATTGCTATACTGCTATATAAGACTGGACCACATGGTCACAGCTTCATATCAACAGTGATTTAACACTAAACTAATGCCATGTAATATATTAATCACTTTTAAGGTATTATCTCATTTAATTCCATTTAATTTTTACTC